CATATTTTCTCCCATGCATTATCATAAAGTCATTAAAGTTACTTTGCTCGCCTAGTCGATATCCAATATTTCACCAACACTTCATTATAATGTGGTAATTTTTTTCATGAATCACTGAACAAATTATTTTCCACACCTAAATGAGCACGTTTTTGGAAAGTTCGTCCGTTATAGGGGCAAAGGATTTAAAACGTGCCTATGTCAACATGCATCACGAGGTCGAAAGTGGTCTTCGAACTATTTTTTTAACATCCAACAAACAAGGATTCTCTATTGCCAACGTTCGCACTACTATAAGAAGGTTGTTGATCACTTTCTACCACTCTTATTGTTGGCCAAAAACTTTTCAGAGGTTGCGTGGACAACCCGTTTGCTATGATCTCGTTGCCATATTTGATAACCTTGTCCAGTAACACAATGCTCTTTCTTTTGGACTCACCTCAAGTTCCCCGTAAGTAGTCCACGTTGATCGCTTGCTCTCCAACAACTCGTGGAAGCGAATAATACTATTTTGCCCATTCAAATAATCATTTATGGAAATGGGTTGCACCGGAGGGTGGTGAAATGGCCACGAAGGACCTGTAGCTTCCATTAGGGTTCGGATGGAACCAACGAATCGGATCTTCCTCAGACAACCACTTGTCGTCATCGCAAAACTCCTTGTACAACATAATTGAATTATCTCCAACCATAAAAAATTTAAGCAAGTGTGGTTTCAAAATACTGGTGATGTCTGACGCAACAAGTGGATCTACGATACTTATCCAATCTGCTAGTCTATTGAGAAAAATACATTAGGGAGGTTTTTTGTGGGATTGCTCTATGCGCTCGTAGAACTCGTTCATGGTGTAAGCGTCTATATCTTTTAGTTTCTTCGACAAGACGTTGAAAGTAGCGCCAACGCCTGTATGGGTATGTGCCACCATCATGAAACTCATCTCCACTTCTTGAAAAACTTTCGACTTAACATACAGTGGAGCTAATGCATAACTGTACTTGTTCTTATTTTCCCACCAACAATTGTCCACTTGAACGCGCAAAAATGGTGGAAGAGTTTTTCCGCTCGACTGAATTTCAACGAGGTGTCTCATGCTACAAGTGACGATAGTGTTAGAGTCGTGCTTTTAATACGAAAACCATGTGTAGACATAAAGATTAATTCAAAGGTCCGCCCGAACGTGTGTTTGTATCTGATTATTTACGACATGGATCAGAAAAAGACGATTATCCCCTATATTGGTCAGACCAGTTACTAGAAAACACTGAGGTAAAAGATGATGATGAAGACAAATCTTACAGGGGTCATTGCACATGGTATAAAGTTCAACTTACCGCTGATGGTTGAATGTGTTCGAGTGTGCATGCGAAACATGATAAAAATGTTTCTGCCACATTTTATAAAAAATTGACTTACACACGACTTCGAGACCAACAACCACGAAGTCTAATCTGATAACCTCATAAATTGATCAGACGAAGTTTGGGTCTGTAAACCTGGCTTCCACATGACACTCGATGAATTTTTTCATGCTCGCAAGCATGGCGGCGTTTTTTTTTCTTTCTTCTTGTCTACCCCTCGGCCCATGTTCGCAATGTACAAAGTCATTCTCGAAGCGCTTTTTGTAGCTTGAAAACGTATTACGAGAGACACTGAGAACAAATTGCACTTTCAAAGAACTCGCTTGTGTAGTAGACTGTTCTCCTTATGAATAATCGGTGGCTGCTAATTGTATACCATTGTAGCTACAATGTCCTAACGACGTGTTGGAAGAGGATTGTTGTTTTAATGAATAATCAGTACACACAAACTTCTCACCCTCTACAAGTAGCCATGGGCACTAATAGCCGTTCGGTGAAGATGCGGAATGTAACGTGTCGAAAACGTGAAGCAAGTCTCGGGAGGCAGATGGTACCAGTCTTGCGGATGGTTCCGTTCCAATTGATAAGCTGTGTGTCTGAAATTGGATTCAACGACTATTAAATTCCGTTGATTTGGCGTTTAAACGCTGAAACAACAGGTTTCACGAGGACCCGGGACAATTTTTTTCGTGGGCTAAAAATTGTAAAAACAAATTAAAACAAATCCGGCTATAGATTTTTTTTAGGTCTACAACCTTATATATATATATATATTTTGAAGGTTTGACTATATTAAAAAAAAAAAAAAAAACAGAATGGAAAAAAAAAAGATGAAATTATTGTTTTTTTTTTCCATAGAGATTTTCTTAGGGCTAAAACGAAACCAGAAAAATAAATTAAAAATATAGGGTTATGGGTCTTTCAAAGATGTGCAACATCATGTTTTTTTTATTTGCTTTTGAACTTCATGTATGAAAAAAAAAAGTAAAATAGAGGAAAAAGAGACACGCACACACACAAATATAGACACACAACACATACACACACACACATGCACAAACACATGTGAACACATCATAAACACATATACACATATACACAAATGTAACACACATGCACAAACACATGTGAACACATACACACATATACACAAATGTATGTGCATACATACTTACTCAAGCACAGACACGCTCTCACACACAGGCATACACATACACACATACGAGCACACACAACAAACCCACGCACACATAACTAGGGGCCTTGGGGGTTGGGGGATGTGGGGGTGGATGGTTTAGAGGGCTTCCAGGTAGATTCAGAAACTGGAATCGGGAGGTTGGTCAGTGGTGGATGACAAATGAGTCGTTGTTGGTATGATTCGATGGTATAAGTGGTGTTTCAAAGGTTGGCGGAATGTTTTTTTTTTTGGGGGGGGGGCGGGGGGGGGGGGGGTTAGTGCGCAGGTGCGTAGGGCCACGTGTTTCGAACCCCGCACATCATTTTAGTTTTTCCCAAAAAGCATGAGAGCGACCCATTTTCTCGTTTAACGGGAGTTCAACGAGATTATTTCCGCTTCAACGGGATTCAACGGGGGGTTAATTCCCGCATTCCCCGTTAAAAAATCACACAATTGCTAAGTCCTTCGCAAGCGTTCCTAGGTTTCTTGGGATAAAATACATTTTCGTGTTTTGAACTTGGCGACGAAGGAATGGCCACAAACCCTTGTTTTCAGGTCGTCAATGAATGTTTTGTACGGGCTTGGTTCTTATCAGATGAGGGGATGCTCGTAGATCTTTTTGTAAATGGTTACATTTTTTGAACTGTAGATAATGGGTGCTCGTGGTATTAGATGTACTTAAATCTTAAGTTTATAATTTTTTGCACGTATGCATACAATTCTCGGCTTTGGAATTAAGTTCGTGCAATACTATCAGATGCTTTTATTGTGAAGTACACGGTTGATAGAAGTTGTTTTGTACGTGATGATCGTTGTCAACATTACTTCATGCGAATTCCCAACCTCTTCGTGTGATTGACTCAACTCTCTACTTTTATGTCTCTCCAAAGTATTCAAAATCAATCAAGTAGGTGATTAAGTATTTCGGGTTTCGACTATTCAGTTCTTCAATTATCAATCTGAACCTCTTTGTGTGATTGCCTCAACTATTTACATAAGTTTTGATTTACGATCTGAAAGTGTCAATTAAAGCGTTGGGGCTCAGTTCTTGTATCCTAAGTTTTCATTTCTTCATCGCAATCTTACAAAATTGATAAAAATGCGATGAAATTCAATACTTAACCATTTCGTTCAGTGTGTGGTTGTATTGACTCATCACTTCAGTTCCAATTTATGAAATGGCAACGCCATTGGAGAAAATGTTAACAACAGTCGTACTTTTCATCACCACTTCAAGACACATTTCACCACTTCAGGATGCAGCCTGCCTAAACAGGTGGTTTTTAGGGTCTTCGGACCTTCCACCACTTCGGGACACCCTTCACCACTTCAGGATGAAGCCTGCCTAAACTAGTGGATTTCAGGGTCTTCGGATCTTTCACCACTTCAGGACCATTCAAAATTTTCAAACTGCACAAAACTCTCACTTCACCACTTCAGGATATAGTCCGCCTAAACAGGTGGTTTTGAGGATCTTCGGACCTTCCATTCGGGATTTTCAGACTGCCAAAAACTCTCACTTCAGAATTTTCATTCATGAATTTTCAGCTACCCGTTAACCGCTTGTGCGCCATTGTCAAATAAGTCTGTCAAAATTGATTGAAGTGCGATAGAATCCGGAGTTCAACCTTCTCGTTTGTTCAATGTGTGATTGTCTTAAATCTTCACTTAAGTTTTCATTTCTGGCATGTCAATCACTCGCAGATGAACATTCATCGAAGTGCGATAAAATTCAGGGTTCAACCTTCTCTTTCAATGTCTGATTGCCTTGACTCTTCACTTGAATTTTAATTTATGACCTGTCATTTTAATTATTCGGGTTCACTACTCGTATCCAAAATTTCATTCAAGTCTAAAGTTTGATAATTTCAACTTGAAATTATTAGCAAGCAAGTGTTAATTTAAAATATAATATTTGATTTTAAAGAATAACATGTTGTAATTTTATTAGTATTATATATATATATATTTTTTAACTCGAATTTGGTTACGAATTTTGACATACCTCTCAGGCAAAAGTTATTTGTTGTATCATTATGTACAACATATACTGTTATTATTTTATTTTATTTTTTTCACGTTCGAAGGGTTTTGATGCTCGTTTGCGTTGCCTCGCGAATGTGATGCTACACATAATATTATAAATATATTTTTTTTAAAATCACCTTATATATATCATAAAAAAAAATATATGTATTTTTAGTAACATTAAATTTGTAACATTTATGAAATAATGAAAAATATATAACAAATATCGAAAAACGAGAAAAGTATATGTTCGTTAACTCATACATAAATGTTTAGGATTCCATGATTGATAGATAAAAAGGAGGCAATGAGAAATATATATTTTGTATTAATTTAATTTAACATGTATAAAATTTTGTCTCTAACATTATTTTATTTGGAGTATTGAAAGTGTGTATAGTGTTTTATACTGTCTCTCTGTTGTTGAATAGTTCAGCATGTCTTTGAAACTTTGTTAACTTCTCCTCGATATCTTGTACCAAAACGAGTCGCTCCTCCACCTGTCAAAATCACAAGAAAAATAAATTAGCATTTTTTATGAGGAAGTTTTATGTAGATAAAATAATATAACTTGCATATCAATCACAACAGTTTAAAATTTTAATTATTCATTTTTATTAGAAAATATAAGGATTACATAATTCGATTGATACATATATTTGCTGAAGGTTTTGGTTTCCTCTCTCTATATATAAAAACAAAAACAAACAAAAAAGAAATGATTCAAGTAAACAAATAAATAGAATAAGAAAAAGAAAAAATTGTAAATATAAAACTACAGTAAGAACATTTAATACATATCAGAAGTTATCGATATTAATATGATAAAAAATTGTAACATTCCTTAGAATCAATAGAAAGATCATAAATATATGATATTTATTTTTTAGATAATATAATTTACCAATTTTGTTTTAAAATTTGATCACTCTATAAAATTTCTTTTATAAAAATTAAAACAATGATGGTAAAATATAATAAAAAATACTTTTATACAAACCTACATAATGTAAGTGATATATAATATATTTTCATCTTGTTGACAATTGATTAAGAAAAAAAAAAGATGTATAACTATGAAAAACAAACATGCAAATTCCAAATGTAGCTTGTGGTGAAGAGTTGTGTAGCACACCGAACATGTTCGCAGTTTTTCTGAACGTCCGAACATGTTCAGGTGTTCGGCCGATCACCACCCGAACGTGTTCGACCGAACATATTAAAAAAAAAAAAAAAAAAAAAAAAAAACCCTTGTGTTTTTTGTTTTTGATTYTTAACTYKAGTTTGGTTACRRATTTKRCCATACCTCCAATGCAAAAGTTGTTTGTATTATTATGTTACATAACATATGTAAGGGTGAGCGATCAACACGAGAGACCGACTGCAATAATGTCAAGAGTAGATGGGGTGGGGAAAAACATGAAGAGTCATGAGAATAGCCGGGAACAGATGCACAGACAGAGAACAAATAGAGAAAGAGATGTCGGGGAGATGGAGAAGGAGATAGATAAGACAAATAAAATCATGGAGAGAGTCATGTGGAGAGTACAAAAAAATCCATGGAAAGAGATATACGCGCGAAAATATAATAGCACTCAATTGAGGTCAATCTGATACATAACAGAGAGAGACATTCCCGCGAGGTCCCTACGTGTTTTATTCGCCCGCCATTGGCGAAATCATTAGGGGACAGTGAGCGCGTACTGAATCATGAACCTAAGGGGTATATATACTAGATCCACACAGCGTACACGAAGAATCGAGCTCTCTATTCTATCCACGAAGCAAGTCCATGTGAGCCAATCTAGCCGAAAGAGAGAGGGGAGAGAGAGAGATAAAAGAGAGAAAGAGAGAGAGGGGAGAGAGGGAGAGAGAGAGAGAGAGAGAGAGAGAGAGAGAGAGAGAGAGAGAAAGAGAGAAAGAGAGAGAGAGAGAGAACGTGAGTGAGGGAAGGAGGATCTTGCGAGCGGGGTCCTATTTTAGGTCGTCTAATCATCAGTACCGCCTGCTATTCCGATCAAAATACCCTAAAAAAATTGAAGCCTTACTTATCCTAGATATCACGGCGAAAGTGCCCATGCTAACTATCCCGAAAAAGCGAAAAGGGGACGAGGAAGGATGCAAGCCTGGAAATGATGGTTAGAAGCCACTCAAACCGCCATTCCCGCCTGTCGTCAAAGGCGGGAAAGATTCTTATGTGTAGAGTCTCTTTCAACCGTTTCTTCAGAGTTGTCTCGCTGACTGAAAACCTTCTGAGTGTCTGAAATTACGAGGCCGGGCTCACGGGAACAATACTGCTATCGAATTCGAATGCCGTCAGATGACGAAA